AAAATCTTGGAGAGCCTACCGAGCCAAGGGCGAGATCCATTGCAACGCCATGCCCGTCGTGCGCCTCGACGTCAAGGGACAAGCTGGCCCCGCCATCCTGGAGCGGAACGAGAAGGCGTTCGAGTACGCCATCTTCCGCGACCTTGAGCGCGGAGCCATCCTCTCGTCATTCCAGTCGCTCTTCGCGGATACAGCGGAGGCCACGTGGCGCGTCTAGCCACCCTTGGGCGGTCTGGCGCCAGGGCGCTCGCTTTGCATGGCGTTTGCATTCCACCACCGAGCTCGGCGCCAAGTTCCCCATCAACGACGCTGGACACATCGCGCTCAAGGACACTGCCGAGTTCAATATAAGACGGCCGCGCTGTACCGTGTCCCCGAGGCACAGCAGTACATCGTCACGCACATGCTCAGCCACTCCCTCATTGTCGTCGGGCCTGACCACCTGCCGCGCTGCGCCCAGCTTGCCGTTGTCGAGCCACTGGACATGCTGGAGGCCCTCACCTGGCATCCCTGCTCCAACGCTGTCTTCTTCCTCGACCTGAACGGCTCTGACCTCGCGCTCCTGCCGAAGGGTGACTACCTGACAGGCGAGCTCACCACGGATCGCCTCCCTGTGGACACATGCCCGCGGCTCCTCAAGTACGCCGATATCAAGGCCACCGCTGACGCGGCCAACTTCCTCATCAAAACCGCTGTGGCAGAGCGGACTTACTACTCGCAGCAAGGCATTGTCGTGGGCCGCAATTTCACCAAGCACGTCGTTAACTTCGGCACCGAGTTGCGCCAAGCTGGAGTTCAACCTGAGGCCGACAAGCACAAGCTCGTCCTCAACAGCTTCGACTTCGCGGCTGCGCCCCCGCCGCTCGGCCGTGGCTGGCTCCTCGCGTCGCTGGGGTACCTCGGTGGCCTTGAGGGCCTGATGAACCTCTCTCGCCAGCTGTACCTCGCCCCCAACAGCTTCCTCAAATATGATGGCGTCCGTTACTTCATGTTCCCGCTCGAATTTGGTGCGTCTCAGGGCTACCCCGTGAGCGGCTCGGCATGGGCGCTTGCCATGGACCCGCCCGTTCGCCACCCCGCCTCGCTCGTCAAGACCTACAACGGCATGCTCGACTACGACAACCGCTTCCTGGGCGGCTGCTCCGACGACACGGGCCTCTCCACGTTCTCGTTCGACGCGCTGCGCGCCTACAGTGAGCCCTTTGCCGCAGCTCAGCTGCTTGCGCCCTTCCCCGCGAAGCCCCGCAAGTGGGTTGTCGCCACGCTTGGGGCGAATTCTGTTCAGCTCATGCAGAGTGGCAGTGTTGCCACCGCTCGCCTCCATTTTACTTCAGTCGTTTCAGCGCTCAGCTTTTTCTCGCAGTCCGTTCCGCCCGATCTGAAGTTCGCCCGCAGTGAACATCACATTTTCCTTAAGACGCCCAATCCCCTGCCTGTCGCACTTCGCAACTGCTGAATGGTGCCCGCCTTCTGTCCCGCTCTCAGCTCAGATTTCACGGTCGCCGCTGCCACTCGCTCAGCTACATTCACGCCCCGTGGGGAACGGGAGCTATTCTTCTCTGCCGATCCGTTGCTAGCAGCTGCCACGGCCGCGGTGAACCGCGCAGCTGCCAGTGAATTTCGCGAGGCCCCGAGTGCTGAGCCACCGCACCGCCCCAAGGTGCAGCGCGCGGTTGCGCTCACGCTGCAGCGGGCCTCCTTCTCATCGCCATTCACTGTCACGCCCGTGAAGTGCATCGCAGTCTGGGGCTTCTCTCAGCCGCCCCCGCCCCCAGAGCTCGCTAAGCGCTGCAATGCTCTCACGAATGCCATGCGCTCCGTCCGCCCGATCTGGCGCTGGACGGAACATGAGACATTCGCAGGTGGATGAACAACGTCTCATAGCATGCACGCTCGCCGGCAGAAGTCGTGTGTGTTAGGGTGCCCAGCGGCGCCCGATTCATTCCCCCACTACCTCGCCCGCTCGGTCCTCCTGAGCCTCCTCTGCTCCCCTGACTCGCCCAACCTCCACAGCACGCTTACAATCTGGGGCTTTGGTCCCGTCGCAGCCTATCCGTCTGAGCCTGCAAACGAGATCTCGTTGATGCGGTCGATTCAGTGGATTGCGCTCGCCGTTAATTGCTTTCACAAAATGAAGCACGCCTCGCCAGCCCCAGCTTCGATAGCTGAAGGGTCGAGCGCCGTCAAAGCATTGCTCTGGAAGTAGTCGTGTGGTAGTCGGACAGGAGCGGACAGTCTTTGCCCTCGTCTCGCTTCTTGCCCGCTTGCCCTCGTCTCTTCCTTTTTGGGTACGTGCACTCCTCCTCCTCCTCCTCCTCCTCCTCCTCTCCTCCTCCTCCCTCCTCCTCCTCCTCCTCCTCCTCCTCCCTCCTCCTCCTCCCCTCTCCTCTCCTCCTCCTCCTCTCTTCCCCTCCCTCAACAATTACTCAATATGAATATACTCTCCCTCTTCCCCTGATGGCGTCCGGGTGATGGCCGCGCACCCTCCGCGTACTGTTTTTTTACACACAGGATGCCCGGGAAATCCCGGGAAACGACTCTCGCTGAGGCGCCGGCGTCATTTTTTCCCAAAATGCTGCTCTCGTTGAGGCGCCGGCCTCATTTCTGCTCCCGAATCGTTCCGAATCGTGCTCCCGCTGCAGCGTGGGCCTCATTTTCGGA